GGAAGCATATAATAAACTAGCCATTACTAGACGTTCTTCGCTTGACACGAAGATGATGCATGACTTGTTTAAAAATACCGTATTTTGGGAGTATCAATCACATCTTTAGCCAATTTATATGTGTTTAGTTCTATAATATCCCCTAAATCTGTAAGAAGCCAAATGCAAAACTTAGGTCCTACCCAATTGCTTACCCCTTTGAAGGAACAATTACTATTAAAGAAAATGAAGAGAAACTCCAATCAAGCTGGTATTTAAGGTGAGTAATCAGTGGAGGGATAGTGGATGAGGTGATAATTGAAAAAGTTTAATTGGTGCCATGTGAGAATAGACCATTGCTAATATATTTTAAGTAGAAACTTGAGGTTGATTCTCTTGTCAGAGGATTAAAAAAAGAAAGTTAGAAAGAAGAAAGAATTAAGAAGCAGATTTTAAAATTTTGGATTAGGGCTGGTTAATGTTAGGGACAAAGTAGGTTGTTTGTATTATGAATTTTGTTGAAAGATGGAGAGAAAAATGACAAAAGTTGTTCATGTTCATTTTGTCATCATGATAAGAGTGAGTTTAATTTATCCTATCCGTTTTGATGGTTTTGAGAGTTTGAGATGAGAAAATTTTGAGTGGGTAAGGCTTAAACATCTTTTTTGAGAGAGTGAAAAAATTATGGAGAAAGACCTGAAAAAACATAGGAGCGAGCGAGAGACATATATATTAAGCAGGTGGAATGTAATGGAAGATCCTTGGTAATCTCTATTGAAGAAATTTGTTCCTTGTTTGGTACTTGTGAAACATGGATTGGTTGGTAGCATTTTTTTATTTTTTGTGTTATTTTTATGGCTATATTTTTCTCCTAATTTCATGCCACCAAATCATTCACTTAACTCTCTCATACTCTGTAACACTTCATGTAGCGCCCGGGGAAATTGAAGAAATTGAAGAAAAAAAAAAAAACGAGCGTGCCACGTCAGCAGCCACGTCAGCAGACCCAGTCAGCAGGCCTGGTCAACCAGGACCTGCCACGTGGCAAAACCACGTCGACCGGGGACGGGCCACGTTGGCGATCCGCGTGCGCGCGATCGGACGGCCCAGATCAATCGCGCGCACGGACGACCCAGATTTAATCACACGGACGGCCCAGATTTAATCAAAAACGGACGGCCCAGATTAAATCAAAATGGACGGCTGAGATCAAAAGGCAAAAAGGTATAAATAAGACCCCCACACCAGACCCCAAACCCTAGCCGCTTGCCCTCGCCGGAGAAGACGAACCAGAAGCCGGCCGCCACCACCCGCCGCAGCACCGGAGGAATTTTCGACCGCCGATCGAGGTAAATTTCATTACCCCGACTCGTTTTTCCACGCTGATTTTCTCAGTGGCCAAATCGGAGCTAAAATCCCGGCCAAACGGCCGAAAAATACGGCCGAAAGCCAGCGGCGCCGCCGCGCCCCTTCTCGATTTTTGCCTCCGATGAGGCCCTTCCCGGCCTCCGTTTAATGCAATTTTTATATCACCGTGATCACCATTCTTTTCTCTACAGATTGATCGGAGCCGAATCACCAAAACACGAACTTCACCGGAGAGCCGCCGCACCTGAGAGCACCGCCGTCGGTAAGCTTCGGTTTTTCGTAAATTTTCGGCCCCCCGAGGGTCGTAGGGTTGTTTTATCGCAGGAACCAATGCGAGTGTGGCCAAATTCGGCCGAAAACGGCCAACCCGAGGCAAACCGCCGCCGCAAGCGGCGGCGCCGTCGCCGGAGCACGGCGGAGCCGTCGTGCCGGAGTTGCGATATTGGCCGAAAGGGGCCCTGGGCCTAATTTGGGATTTTTTTGGAACACGTGCAGGTACCAGTAGTGCATTTCAGTTCCCCGAGAAAAATTCAGGGAAAATTAGGGACAGCCTGTAGGCGCACTGTGAAGCCGTGTTCGGACCCTGAAACGTGTAAGGACCCCTCACCCTATTTCCTATCACGGTTTTAAAGTTCAATAAATGATAAAACGGTATTTCATGAATCAACGAATGTGTGAAATTGCTTAAGGTCGCTAATGGAGCCCGAGACTAGTGTGTTTATCGGTTAACTGTTATTTGGCCTGTTTTACAGTTTTAAATGCAGCATAAGGTTCGATGTTTCCATTTTATAGTTTCGTGTGCATATTTTACTGTTTTATTGATTATGGATTGAATGACCGGGATATTGATGCTGTATGTTGTCTGTTTGGCATAAATTATCGTTTTGCTTGTTTGTATGTGATTGATAATGCTGACTGAGGAAAAAGGAGAATGAAAGATTATGTAAATGGAAATTGTATAATGTGTTCAGCCTGACTAGATATCCTGGGAGATGGTGGACGGACCGGGTCCGTAGGGAACCCTACCGGAATTGTGGTCTCCCATATCGGACGGGGTATGGGGACGGCCCATTTTACCCTCATACCGGACGGGGTAATGAGGTCTATGGTTTGGCGCCCATATCAGACGGGGTATGGGGACGGCCCTAGAATGGATTTCAAGTGTTAAGGATTAACGGGTAGCGGGACCCCTATGGATCCCCATGGATACTAGTGGGCTGGTGAATTAGGAAAATATGTTGTGTAACGATGAAATTATGAAAAGTTTGATAGGTATTATGTTATACAGTTCATATATATGTTTTCATGATGATGATGATGTTATTGCTTTCGTATATTGTTCTATGAATTTCACCGAGGTAAGTGAATGGTAAAGGTTTTATTATTAATAAAAGGATTTGTTGTAAATTATGCTCCATTGGTCTTTTTGTGTTTTCTACCCACCTTTACCTCCGTGACGGTGAGATATCGTGATGTCCTTACTGGGCTAGTGTAGCTCATTCCTTATTTAATCATTTCAGATCAAGAGGACATCGTTCCCGAGCCGGTTCCGCAGGAGGACGACGAAGGGGACGCCTAAAGACTCCATAGTCACATTCGTAGTTTTTACTTTCAAGTTTCTCCTTTAGGTAGTTTAATCTTTTATATTTTGTGAGCACGTTTTTGG